TCTTCAGGATCTGTAAAATGGTGTCAATACCCCACAGTATTCTCTTGGGTTCTCCTGGCCTTAAATGACATCAGGTATGTGAAAGCACTACTCAAAGAAATGTCAGCTGTGATTATTTGCCCCTATAGATGGTGGCTCACTTAGCTTGCAGGAAAGATCTTCTAGGCCCAAGTGGCACAGACGAGAGAGCTGGCAGCTTTAGTGAGACACGTGTGGCAAAGGTCCATGGGACTGGCTCCTGATTTCACAGCCCCAGATCAATGACTGCAAGCTTCTACAGTGAGAATAAAGTGAATCTCCTGAAAGCAGCATACCCAAAAAAGAGGTCTGCCAAACAAAGCATGTGTAAAGAAGCAGTCATCTTAGTGTCCAAGAAAGAATACCCTCGAGGCTGTGCTGAATATGGGGAGCCAGACATCTGCCTTAGTATACCTAAGACATGAAGTTAGTGAATAGGACATAAGCTAGTCTTGAATATAAAGCAGCAAATTACAATTTACAATGCTACAGGCTGTGGCCTTTGACAGGTTACTGATCTTGTTCTATAAGCCTGCTTCCTCATCTGTGTTATGGGGATAATATTAGCATGTACCTCCTTGGATTGCTGTAATCCTTGAGAGATAACCCCTGAAAGGCACAATGCCAGATTCAATGTGCCCAATAATCACAGGATACCAGGTCATACTTTGTCTAAAGGGCAGAAAGTTAACGTTTCAATAGAGACCAAGTTAGACGTCTGCTCTTTTTCAAGTGAGATTTATTGTACATAAAATAAATTAATTACAGTTTAAGCCAAAGCATGAGTGGCTTTTTAAAGTGCATCTGTAGAGGGGATTTGGCAGGTAGCCCCTGTTCACTTGCTGTAAAATAGTGTTTTCGTATTTCAGCCACCCTTAGGCACGACTCAGCCAGGCCTCGGAAGCACTCCAATGCCATTGCCATGAACCATTTACACAAATCACACCAAAATCAACTGACACATTTTTTTTCCTGATGGAACAGTTAAAACCAAAAACAAAAAACTATACAGGCAAAGTCTGGGGCCGAAGAGTGTGAAGTTCACGACTCCTCAACACACAGCCCACTGAGCATGCACATCCTGTGAGGGGGAACCAGCGCCTTCCTGCAAACTGCGCAAGCTTACCGATGTCTGGTATACAGAATATTCTGGCCCATAAACTCAATCCATTTTTGAGGGGTAGGGGATTTTCCATCTTGTTCATAAAGAAAGAAATCTGGGTATCCTTCAGGTTAGAAAGGCATTCTGTAAGAATAGTGTTCCAGAGTTACAAATCATACTGACAAGAGAAAAGCAATTCTTCCTCTTGGGGGAAAAAAAGACAAAAAGAAAGAAGGAAAAAGAAAATGGGGAAAAAAGAAAGCCTATCAATGCTTAATCTGTTCTGTCATTCCCACTGTAAATCACACCAATACATTTGGTGAAACTGCAACGAACCACCATTTACAAGGTAGCTAAATGCAGAAACCAAAACGATTATGCCCCCTCCCCACTCTAAAGGAAAAGACACAGAGTACATTTCACATATTCAGAGAGTGGCTCAGTGGGCTCTTTCAAGCCTCATCAATCCTGTCCCCCTTCTCAGAACAACACTTCCTTTTCTGTAGCAGTTCCATAGGCCCTCTTGGCCCTTCTGCTCCAGCCCTTTCTGGAACCAGGAATCACTGCCAGTATTCAACATTCCTGCACTCAGGCCCTCTTCCTGGGAAGACCAAACCCCCTTGAGTGCTCCTCCTGCTTCAGACAGAGGTGACAGTCCTCACTTTGGCAGAGAGAGCTTGCTTAAACCTCCTCTTCAGGTCCTGCATGTTGGGTGACTTGGGCCTGGGAATGAGGGAGGTTCTTCGCTTCTCAGGTGTGCTGCTAGGCTGTTGTTTGTGACTGACCTCTTTACAGAGAACATGGAAGGCGCTGTAGACGTCACTATAATTTTCACTGACAGACACTTCATAGAATGAGCAGCCTAGCATGCTGGCCAGCTGCAGTCCAAGCTGAGGGTCAACCTGTTTGATGTGCAACAGGTCAGCTTTGTTGGCCACGACCACCACAGGCAGCCGGGTGCCCAGGTGTAGCTGCTGCACGTGCTGGTGAAGCTGGCTGATGAGTTCATAGCTCTTGTAGTCAGTGATGGAGAAAACTATCACCACAGCATCTGCCCAGCGAATGCACCTATTCAGCTGTTCACTGCAGCTCAGGCTGTTCTCATGGACCTGAAAGAGAGGGGTGACGGCAAGGTGAATGCTGGTCAGTGGTGCAAAGAGCCTGGGCTTGGGTAGATTTCAAATTCAAAAGAGCCCTTCATAGTAATGCCAAGTTGCGGGCCATAAACAAGTTAAATCGCACACACTTCAGCTTTCTTGACAATATGTTGATCCAGCTGCACAGAGTTGGAATAAATAACAGTGCAGCTCACCACACTCCAGTGGAAAATTGACCTGCAGAGAACTCCATGCAGAGAGACTTTGTAGTTGCACAAAATGGGAAATTAACTGGCTAGACAGTAAGTCTGGCGAAGTAAAGATAGGAGCTGGAAGCATTTAAACCTGGATAACTGCCCAGTTCAGGAGGCGGGGAAAAAAAAAACCCTAGCATGGCGCTTTTGTCTATAGAGCAACTTTCCACAGTACAAAAGAGATTCCAAGTATTTGCAGACTATACCCAGAAGCTTGGTTTTTCATGCCAAAGACACATATATTAAAACTGGACTTTTTAACCATAGCAAGGAAAACACCAATTCCTACTGCATTTGGTTTGGGCTTTCCGGCTGTGTTGAATCCTTCTAAAGGAAGATTTCTGTCCCTTAGCCAAATCTCCCAAACTAAGCCATGCTAAGATTGACCAACAGCCAGATACAACTGAGTTTTCAGACAATATGTAAGTCTACATGTAACTCCGCAAATTTCTCTGCTCCTGCAGCATGAGGGACTTGAGAAAAAGTGAATGATTCCACAGCCAAGTAGGCTCCCCTTTCACCCAGAGTCTCAGAGCTTCTCACCTGAATACCTGGAGTGTCTTGAACCTGAATAGCCAGGGTTTCACCTTCTATCTGAACTTGTCTAGTATACAGATTACCTATGAAGGCAAATAAAAAAGATGATGTTCTTCCTTCTTGTACAACTTTTAAAACATTGAGTTTTAAGCTAGAAAAAAAATGCACAATGCACAAATGCACACAAAAAAGCTATAGTTTATTTCTATTTAGTGGGCTTACTTCAGATTAAAAAAAAACAAACAAACAGCAATTTTAACCTTATGTTAGATGTATTAAAACCAGGGCAAAGTTTGCAAGTTTTTGAAAACGTATTTATCTAATTTTAAACAAAGTTTCCATTTTTAGAATACTCCCTTGATGCAAATTATCTTGCTCAGCCTATGTGAGGTTTCTGTTTTCTTGAGTACTTGATCATTCTTTGACTGTAACTTTGTATTTTGGCCGTTAGATAGAATGGCTTGCTAGACAAATACTGTTAGTAAACACACAGCCAATGTTATCAGTTGGAATAAAAATGTGACATAATGATAATCAACTCTACATCAAAGCAGAAGGCTGCCACGTCTTATCTTGGGATAGCTTATACAGCTCGTTTCAAATAATCCCCTATATGTACTCATATGGTCTACAGATTTCAGCAATTTGCTAACAGAGCATAGGTAGAAAGCTCTTAAGCCTCCCAGTGGCTATTCTTAATCATAGGGATTGAAAAATGTGTCCTCTCATTTATTCAGGAATTCTCCTCCTAAAATTCTACCATCCAGTTGTTTGTTAAGAAGGAAGAACTTTAGGTTTACAACTGCTCTCCTTTGGCCTTTGCTTTAAAAGGTCACCTCTGAAAGGCAGCCAGCAGAGGAGAGGGGTGGGGGAAGGAGCTGACCATCTTTTTTTTTTTTTTTTACGACTTTTGCCGGAGTATTTTGAAGGGAAAGGTTCTTGACTACAAAGGGTGCTTCCAACTGGGGTCACTATAGTTAAAACATACCAAGGGGAATACTTTCAGGCACTTGATAAAATGATGAATGGGCTTGGAATGGAATGAGGCCAGATGGTAGTTATTGGGAGGGGGGACATGGAGGGCTGGAGAAAGTTTTAAGTGGCAAGATCCTCAGGCTCGGACTGTCACTGAAAGAACCTGCCTGGGAAGTGCTGGAAAATGGGAACCACAGCCCTCCTGCAATGGGACAGAATTTTTCTCAAATGCATTGTCTCACCTGCATTTCTTTCATAGTCACCGATGAATCGCTTGGTGAGGAACCGGACCACCAGTGCTGCAGGTCACAAAAAAGAAAGTCAAAATGTTAACCTTGGAAGTTAGATTGTTCTCCACCCCACCCCCAGCCTGGAAAACAGCTCTCCCAAAGAAAGCCATAGATGGCCACCAAGTGAAATTCCTACCCTGTAGCTCCTTGACCCTTCTTGCAGACAAAAAGAAGGGGGGTAGAAGGCATCGTGAATTATGGCTCTGTGCAGCTGGAAGGCTCACTGAGCCCATCCCCTTCTCTGAGCCCGGCTGAGCCACACCTAAGCCTTCCACTAGACCCACGTCTTCCTAACCTCCAAGACCTCCCAGGGGTGCTAGCTTCACTAACTCCCCTTTCTGTGCCAGGCATTACCAGAGACTAAAACACCCCAAAGTTCTGATGGCGGCGGTGCTGGTGGTCCCCAGAAAGCCGCCTGGCCATTCTTGATCCCTGTTTCCCTCCTCTGTGGAAGCAGGCGGGTGGCGTCGACAACCGCTAAGCCCACTCCCAAGGGGCAGCGGCTCCCTGCAGGGGACGGCGAGCGGTCGGACTGCAGCTCCCGCCGCTCCCCATGCCTCGCTCAGCCTCAACTCCCGTCAGGGGTCGCCCACGACCAGCCCCGGGGTTAAGCGCGAGGACTCACCGGTCTTGCCCACGCCGCTGGCGCCCACCACCGCGATCTTGACCAGGCGGCGGCCGGCGGCGCCCACGCAGCAGTCGGAGGCGGCGGCGCTTCCCTGCGCGGGGTACTCAGCGATGGTGCACATGTTCTGAATGAGGCGCATCGCCTCGGCTGCGGAGCACCGCGCGGGAGGGGACTGAGGAACTGGAGAAGGCTAGCGCTGCACGGGAGCCGGCGGGAGAACCCGAATGCGGGGCTCCGCAGTAAAAAAAAAAAAAAATATATATATATATATATAATAACAACAACGATAAATAAGTGCAGGTACGGGCGGGGCTGGGGGCGGGCGCCAAGGCTCAGCAGGGCTCAGGCTCCGGACAGAGACTGTACTCCGGCGGCGCGCAAGTTGTTTTCTCCGCGCCCGGCCCCGCCCCCTTCCCCCGCGGCCAATCCCGGGGCGCCCTGAACGAGGCCGCGCCCCCAGCGCCGCTCCGGGCGCGCGACGGCCCCGGAGGCGCGTGGAGTCGGTGAGGAGCCCCGTGAGGCCTGGGGGGAAGGGGCCTCGGGTGGAGGGGAGCGGCGGGTGGGCAGAGGTGGCGCAGCCCAGGGCGGGCGCCTGGTAGGTCCCGCCGCGCGAGCACGGGGCAGATGCTGTGGCTGCCGGACCCGGGAGAGAGCCCAGCCCCCACAGAGCCATTCCGGACCGCTGCCTCCGCCGGCTCCACAGCCCACGCGCGCATTCGCTGCAGCCCCCACCTGGGGCGCCGGCTCGCGACTGGCCGGGAGCGGTGTCTGCTGCCCGGCTTAGTGCCGCATGCCCTAATTTGGAGCGATTGCACTGGCTTGGGTACATCCCGGCTTATAGATTCGGCTACAGTTGCAGTCATCCACAAAGCCCCCAGCCTAAGACCTTTAGAACCCCCTAAAATGTGACATTTGAAGCAAAAATATCATCCACATTTTATCCTAGACCCACATTCTCTGGCTCTTGTCGACAACACAAGCTAACGCGAACACACATGGTCGGACGCATGCACAGCACGCCCAGAAGCGGATCAAGAAGTAATTATAGAACAAGCTTTCCAACGCCTCACTCAGTCACACCTTCTCCAGGAACTGTGAAATGGAAAGAAAACAGCCCAGCTGCGACGTCTGAAGGGGCCCCGCACTTCGTCCCTGGTCATAAGACACCGCAAGAGTTTAGTTAAGTGGCTTGATGCCAAGGAAGAGGTGGGCCCTGCACTCCTAAAATCCCAAGCTCTGGCCCCTTACAGTCTCATCTGAGAAACACATCTTCAATGGCAGGCCAAATTCCTCTTGCAAGCTACAGTCTGTAGCTGCAGCTGATGGCAAGATGTCACTAGAGTCGCGGGTTAACCACCCCATCCCCCATGCAAGGCCCTCTCCCCGCTACCCTTTCAACCTTGTCCCAGAGGCTTTTATGCTGGGGTATGACAACAAACTCTGTGACTTTGTGTACCCACCCACATTAAAGTCTGAAATGTGAAATAAACCAATGCCCTTATCCACATATGTCACGCATCTAATTTGACCCTCTCTTCCAACCTGAACTTAATTGACCAGGTATTTGACAGAATTTATGAACCGCAGCCAGTTCAGACTCTGAGATGAACCTCTTGTCTACAGAGGTTTAGGTGTTTGCAGGAATGCAAGGAGAAATAGAAAGGTAATCTCAAGGTAGCAAGTTTTCTAGGATGGGCCACATAATTAGAAAGACACACAACCTTACAATAAGCATAATAAAATGTTGACTTCTAGGGAGATCACCAGAACAAAATAGCCATTTGAGTCAGAAAGAAAAAGAGCATTTCCAATATGCAGCATGTCTTTCTGCATGGTTTAAATCAGACTTGAGTGTCACTTCTATAAAATCAAACTTTGCAAGACTGTAATTACAGGTAACCATGGGCTTTTAAAATCCTTCCCCTCCAGAAAGCCTGCAATTCTATCATGCTTACATGGTAAAATAATTATGTAGGCTAAAGTATTTGTTTAACTGCTTTCTCTCTCTACACACACACACACACAGAGACACAGAGAGATGACAAAAACTGTCAAGGGGAATTTTGCTTTGAATCATTTAGCTTCTTGGGCTTGATTTTCATTACCATAAGCCCATACAAAACCTATGATTTTTCTGTCTGCAACGCAAAGGCTTGATTTGGTGTTCTTATTTTAGATCTAAACGATCTGGCTATGTGTTAAAGAACACAGAAAAGAAAGAAGCAAGAGAAAGATGGAAAAAAGAAAAGAGAGCTCTTCAAATTCCAAATACCTAGCATATCGCCTATCTCCACTCCACCTACCTCTCCTTCTGAGACATTTATAGAGTTAAAAAGAGGAAGGAGGCAAGGCAAGAGAAATGATGATACATAATGAGTGCTTATTTCATTCTAGGTTGTACACAGGAGTTTTGCATTTAAAAATCTCATTTTACCTTCATAACAGTCCTATGAGGTAGGTATTACCATTACTCCTAGTTGCCATTATCTATTGCTGCTTAGTAAACCACCCCAAACTTCAGTGGCTCACAGTTCTGTGTGTTGACTAGGCTTAGCTGGGGGGTGTTTACCTAGGATCTCTCACGTTGTTGCAGTCAGATGGCAGCTGGGGTTGGTATCACCTGAAGGCTCAACTAGGCAGGACATCCAAGATGGTATCTTCGTTCATATGTCTGCGTGTCAGCTGGAATGGGCAGAACAGCTGGGACTAGCTCAGGCTCTCTCACAGCATGACGACGGGCTTCCCTTTGAGTGAACATTCTAAGAAACCAAGTAGAAGCTGCCAGTCTCTTAAGACCTGCACTTGGAAATTGGCACAGCATCACTTCTGCTCTGTTCTATTGGTCAAGTGTCACAGAGCCCACCGAGATTAAAGATCAAGGAGCAGGAACATCAATCCTATCTTTAAATGGGAATGGTGTCAAAGAATGTGTGGCCATCTTTAATTCACTATGCTTCCATTTTACAAGTGAGAAAGCAAAAAGTCTCGGGTTAAAAACTCCTCCACCTTTTTTTTTTTTTTTTTTTTTTTTTTTTTTTTGGTCAAGCCAAAGGAGACAAGGATGGGGAATTGAAACATGAGGGGTTTGGGAAGAAAAGAAAAAAGTATTTTGCCAAGGTTCAATTTTATCTCAGCATCTGGAGTTTCTAGCACTTCCTTTGATCTTAAGAGATTTAGCCCAGACAATTCAGTCCCTGGAAGCCCTTAGAATGCCAGAATATAAATTCAATAAATATTTGTTGGATGTCTGGGCTATCATAATGTATGATGCCAGACATTATGCTAGGTATTGAGTCTACAGTGGCAAACAAGAAATGCAACCTTTGCCATCCCTGCAGGTACATTCAGCATGAGAGACAGAAGTGAATGAGCAATTTCAATATAATGTGAGAAAACGCTTTGATAGGGAAAATTCAGGAATTACAGGAGCACAAACTAGTACTAAAAACCTGGGCTGTGGCAGTCAAGGAGGGGGTGGTAAAGGAGTTGAGAAGTTTGTGTGTTGTGTACAGCGTGCATGTGTGTGTGCATGTACGTGGGAGTATGGAGCAGGGAGTCAGGAGGGGGCGAGATGGGTTAGTTCGCAAAGAGAATAACACTTTCCAGTAGGTGCTCAGTAAATAGTTGTGGATTATAAATGAAAGCATTAGTGAATATAGCAAAGGCCTCACATTGAGAAAATGAATTGAAAGAACAGTGGATAGTTCCTGTTGGGTGAACAGAGAGAAGAGCCCTAGTGATTTCTAAGGACGAGCCCTTATATTGATGAGAAAATCTCCAGAAGTTGCCTTGGTGCTCCCTTCTTCCATAGGAACATGCCCCCATGGAAGCCAAATGAGCTGCTCCTCTGCCCACGTCACCAGGAGTTGCTCCCAAATCAGCCCTCTCTGAACATCCAGGCGTTGCGCAAGAACCAGACTTTATTTTTTCTTGAGACTTTTGTCAACTCGGCTTGTTTGGATCCAGTAAACAGACACTCTTTAGCGGTTTTAACTCGAAGATGATTTAATACAGGAAATTACCTGCTTTCAATGTCATTGGAAGGGCTAGAGTAGCGGGCTCTAGGCTGGACCTACAGAAATGGCTCCTAGAGCAGCACTGCAGAACTGGCCCATGCAGGAACCTGCTGCCTCTTCCATAATCAGGGGAACACAGCGGCTGCCTCTGTTGTTCTCTCTCAAAACTCACAAAGCTAGAGACCAGACATTGGAAAGTTGCTGCAGAGAAGCCCAATATCTCAATTGTGCATGGTAGCAGAAAGCAACCAAGCAGCAGAAATAATCTTTCCTCCTTGCTTCTGCCTTTCAAATCTCTGAGCACATCTGATTAATTAAATTCATTTGTATCTGTTACCCTAGCTGCAAGGGAGTCTAGGAAATGTCATGTTTACCTTTCTAGTCCTGGCAGTACATGAAGACACACTGGAAACAGATAGACAGGAACTCAGTGTGAATTCACCATTGCTTCTACTCTTCTCTAGCAGCCCAAACAACACAAAGGCCCAGAAAAGGAGAGATCGTGTCCCAGTAGACATTTAACTTTCAATTATAAAAAGGTATAATGAGGTTCTTTTTGAATTGATTGCTTTGAGACCATATTCAAGACCACTGTTTTCATTACTTTTATGTAGTATGTATTGACAGCTGTGTTAGGCTGTTCTTGCATTACTCTGAAGAAATACCTGAAACTGGGTAATTTATAAAGAAAAAGGTTTACTTGGCTCATGATTCCACAGGCTTTACAGGAAACAGTGCTGGCATCTTTTTGGCTTCCAGGGAGATCTCAGGAAGCTTACAATCATGGCAGAAGGTGAATGGGGAGCAGGCACATCACATGGCAAAAGCAGGAGCCACAGAGAGAGAGAGTGAGAGGGGAGCTGCCACACAGTTTTAAACAAACAGATCTCATATGAACTCAGAGCAAGCGATCACTTACCACCAAGGCAATGGTCCAAACCATTCATAACGGATCTGTCCTATTGATCCAAACACTTCCCACAAGGACCTGCCTTTGATACTGAGGAATACAATTCAACATGAGATTTGAGTGAGATATCCAAACCGTATCAACACCCATCTCCACTCTTTTGGACGTTTCCTGTAGTCTGGCTACAAAGAACATCTGTTGACCTCCCTTGCTCAGAATCATTTTCCATTCTTTTGATAAGAGCACTCCCAATTTTCCTTTAGAAACCTCTCCTGCCCCACTTTCATGTTGTCCAGGAGGTGGTGGTATGATGATCCCAGTCCCTAATTCTGTGGAATAAGGGGCGTCCACCCCCGGGATTCCTTCATGGCTGGGCCAATTAAATCCATCCCTGAGAGTTTTGCTAGGAAAGAGGTTCTTCGTTTGCACTGGTGTCAACCAGCTGGTAGAAAGTGAGCCTGGAGCTCCATCTTGGCTACCTCGTGGAGAGTCAGCTGAGAATTGAAGCCAACCCAGAAGAAAAGACAATTGAGAGGCAGAGACAGCCAGGACCCTGATAGCACCTTTTCCCACACTACATTCAGCCATGCCTGAAAATGCAGACTTACCCCCAGTTACAGGAGTCAATACAGTCCCTGTTTAGATTCAGCTGGTGTGTGCTGCATCTCTGTCACTTGGACTGCATAAGCCCTCCCACATCCTGTTTGCACAGAGTCAGGAGCTCCACACAAGCCACGCTGAGGTTGACTCCCGAGCACTAGCAATGTTCCCTCATTCAGAACTCTGAAACTCAGCCATTCATTCTCAGTAGAAATCACAGATATCAGACTGTTATATCCTTTTTATTTCATCTCTGTGGATACCCTAGCAGTGCTATCCTGCAATCTCTAGAAACTAACATAAGGATATTAGTATATCCAGACAATGGAATATTATTTAGCACTAAAAAGAAATGAGCTATCAAGCTATGAAAAGACAGGGAGGAACCTTAAGTGCGTATCACTAAGTGAGAAAAGCCAATCTGAAAAGGTTACATACTGTATAATTCCAACTTTATGACATTCTGGAAAAGGTAAAACTGTGGTAAAAGGATCAGTGGTTGCCGGGAAATCTGGGGAGGGTGGGGTGAACAGGCAGGGCACAGAGGATTTTTAGGACAGTGAAAATACTCTGTATGATACAACAATGGTGAATACTTGTCATACATTTATCCAACCCCATAGAATGTACAGCAAGAGTGAGCCCTCATGTAGAGTGGCCTTTGAGTGATCATGACATGTCAATGTAGATTCATGGGTTGTAATAAATGCACCATTCTGGTGTGGGATGTTGATAATGGAGAGATTGGTGGGGAGAGGGCTAATCTTTGCACCTTTTGCTCAGTTTTGCTGTGAACCTTAAACTGCTTTAAAAAATAGAATGCTTATTTTTTTAAAAATGAGATTACTGGGCATCTAATCCAACTCCTCCTCTGAGATTTTCCAACCTAGTCTAGGATGCTTCCTGTGATGAGAACTTCCTACCATCCACAGTGGCACATTTCTACCAAGCTGATCTCTTCTCTCCTATAACATCCTTCCAGA